TGAGATGAGAAAGAACAGAAAGGTCTGCAACACCTTAATGCTTGCCTGGGAGGCAGCCCCTATCTATTCCAGTTAGTATCTCCTTCCAGACCTCCTGTCCTTATCTTTGCACACTCTACATGCTGTTACTGCCACTGGCCTTGTTTGAGCCCATACATCTCAGCAGTGTCATGCGGAGACTTCTGGAATAATGCCCGGCCAACTCTCTCTGGGAGGCGATTTCTTTGACATCCTTCTTGAAACTACTCTGCCACAGCCTCCTGATGAGGCAAGCTATTTAAAGACTAGAGAGAAAACTTCAGCCCCCCACGCATCAGAGCCGTACGGTACTTTAGCTCCACTTGGCACATATTGGCAGAGTGGGATAAGGATGTGTAACTTTTAATGGAATGTCTTTTAAAAAGAAGCAACCTTAGAAGTTCTTCAAACCCATCTTCATTACAAAAAGAAAAAAAATAAAGCACTGCTTATTCATTGTAGTATCTAAGGCCCATTCACGGCCAGTGGAGCTTCTTATTTGAGTGCCTGGTGGTTCCTTAAGCAGTTTAGTCTGGTTTTGGGTGATTCTTAATATCCTGATTTCCTCATTCTTCTCTATAACAGAATCAAGCAAGTCTTGGGGCATGAGCAGAGCTGTGTGCTTATGAAAGTGTGTCATTTTTTTGGAATTGCTGGTGAAGAGAGGACTTAGAAGTATTTCCAGGAGTTTTGTCACGCAGCTGCTATGAAGCTGGAATTGAGTGCCTGCTCAGATTTTACATTGTTTTCTAAATCAAGAGCTCCTTCTTTTCTGGGTTTGTGTACCTGTGCATTTTTGCAAACCTGTTGTACTAAACACAGACTAATTCCTCCTGGAACTTCTAGGGCTTCTTACATTTGTGTAAATGCTTGAAATTGTATTGGCCGCAGTCCTGAAGTCCTTTTCAGTTCATGATCAAAGTGAGTGGTTGTTTTCCTTTTTTACTTTTAAATAAGGATTATTATTAATATTATTAGTAATTAAACCAGTACTATTGCTGCAAGGGGAGTAGCCATTATGGGAGCACAGCATTAGTTTTGATGGGAATACTGGCTTTAAAAAGCTGGACTTTAAAATTCAGCCACCCAACAGTTTTGGATGTCCTGTGATTGTGTGTTTGACCTCAACCATCACAACCTTTTGAGTGACATTTAGAGGTGCCTGTGTCATCCCAAACTGAAAGTGCGTCTGAATGTGGCATGAGGAAATCCTAGCTAGAGATTGTACAGATGTCAGTGTCAGACAGCAAATATGCACCAGGCTTAAATGGAGTTGTCTGTGGGGAGCATATTACAGTGTTCCCAGTAAAGGCTGTAAAACTGGTAGTGGGGTTATATATAGTGTATGTGTGTATATATATATATATATATATATATACACACACAGCCCTGTGTAATATTTGGTCTCCTACACCCACAGTCCTCAGTAGAGCTGATCTCATTTCAGTGATTTCTTTGGCTTTATGGCTTTTTAACTCTTCTTGGAGCAGCAGTGTATTTCTTGTTTTCCCTAAACTCTTCACCTAAAACTGACAAGGACATCCCTTGCTACTGGGTGGTAATTGTGGCTTAATAGTGGTTTAGTGGTTTAACAAGCAGAAACAGAGCTGAGATATGACTTGAAGGAAAAAAAAAACACACCAAACAAACAAAACAAAACAAGAGGGTAAAAAATTACTCATCATGCAGAAAAGCCCAGCTCCTTCAGTCACTGGATGAGTAGCTTTGTAAATGACAGGGAGTCCTCATTCACTGCAGCTGGAGTGCCCCCCGGGTTTGGGGCATTGGGACAGCTTTGGACTGCAGGCTTGAGGTGGTGTTACCCAGTGGAGTGTTCCTCCATGCAGTCAGAAAACACTTACCAGCTCTGGTGTGGTTTTGGCACTGTGCGTGTCCCAGATGGTCTGTGACTGTAATCTCTAGAGTGATAGTTTCACCACGTGTTTGATAATGGTGCCTTAAAAAAAAACCAGCAAAAATAGAGGCCCTTATGCTACCAATGCAGACTTGTGTGGTACTTGTTCAGTGTCATGTGTTTGCTTTCCTTTACAGTTCATGCCACAGAAAAGCAGTTTCTTCTAAGATCCTGGACCTGTGAAGAACTGCGGCCACTGAACAGTGCCCTTTGGGGTGTTGCGATAAATCCTCCTGACAATTGAACTATAAATACTCACTGTATGTAAACCTGTATCAACATCAAAGCCTCTTCAGGCTCATCAGAAAGAACTTCAGGAAGGGGGTGTGTTTTGTTTGGCAAGGATAAGAGAGGTCCAAATTGGCTGGTGCAGACATTTTCTGATTCTTGGGTTAATTGAATTCCATTTTTGTCATCACTTATCACCTCATAAAACTTAAGTTTCGGAAACATGTGAAGTCAACTCATTTTTACTTTTTGCAATCAATCCATTATAGAGAGAGTTTTCAAATACCTTGTCTGGGTAAGATCTTGATTTCTTATCTATTTTGTGGGAAGGGTTTTTACTGTGTTGCTCTCATGGGATATCTCAGGACCTCTGAAGTGAACTGCTAGTTGAGTGCTGCTTTTCTATGCAGGAAGAGGCAAGTTTCTGTGTCTGCTGTTCACGGCTTCCTGAATTAAGAAGTAAATTAGGTTTAGCCACCCAAACTTGCTAAAAAGAAAAAAGGAAAAAAGGAAAAAGAGGTGCCTTTTTGGTACCCTGAGATACAAAGTGTCCTGATCTCTTGCCATGTGGTAGTTTCCTGTTGTTTGCTCTCCCCCTCCCCTCCTCCTGCCTGCTCAGGGACACATCTGCAAGCCTTGCTTTCATTTGTGTGACTCATCTGTCTGTGCCTCAGCTTCTGCTTGTTTGGGTGAGTAAGGTCAGAAGCAGCTCTCCGTGCATGATTTTCTGAAGAAAAGTCAAATCTTTGTCAAATGAGCACTGCCTTGATGAGAGCTTTATGTAGACTCAGACAAATGAGATTGCAGGGAAAAGACATTCCTTATCTCCTCTTCTCCCTCCAATGTAAATAGTGCAGCATGTGGGAAACAGATGAGTGGCCTTTCTGTAAGAAGGCCAAGAATGACACTTTTTGTCTATATTGAAGTGTTTGTTTTGCTCTTTACCTTGTTCTGGGGAAGATCCTTCTCATTGGGCCTGGTAGCTCACTGCCCTACTTCTTTAAGCTGAATAAAATCTTACCGGCCTTTGCCTTTTAGCAAGCTCCTTCCCAAAGAGGAGCCTGGATGCAGCTGGAATCCAATCCTAGCCCCAGCCTTTGTCAGTGGTTTATGCCTGAAGGATTATATAGGTGTAATTGAACCTTTATACAACTTTGTCCTGCAGGATTAAGGGTGGTAAACCAGATATATTTATATAAATGTAAATAATTATAATAATGGTTAGACAAAAAGAGCTTAACCAGAATTATTGCTACACAGTATAGAAGCTATAACAACTAGTATAGTACAGTGCACCATAAAGCAATATTAAAGCAATTATATTAAAGTGATTGTATTAAAGCTAGCAAAACCAATTATTATGTAGAGATTGATGTTCCTCACCTATACTGATGGCCATAGGCAAATCTCTCACTCAGCCTCAGGGAGTAACCTTGAGGGAGTAACCCTCCCACTCAAGGGAGGAATCTCCACACGTATGCTCCAAGAAGGGATATGTTAGAAGACCCTGCTGTTAACTTTTGGGATTGAGCTTTTTTAGTATAATGTGTTTCACTGTCAGTCGGATCTCTTCAGGCCAGCTCAGCAGCTTTAGATAAGTTATTAGTAGTATCACTTGTTTGCTCCTTTATCAGATACTTTTATCAGGTCTCCATCTCATTACCAGAATGTTTAACTTTGAGATTCATGAGTCAGACTGGTTTCAGCTTTATTCAACACCAAAAGCAACTTGACACCCCCTTCGTACTTTACCATTGGTAGCTTTGCAAATGCCATTGCCCTCCTGCCCATGTGCCTGGGGAGCAGGAGGTGTTTGTTGTGCCTATCCCAGCCTCTGACTTGCCCAGCAGTAGCAACACTGCTGCTGATGAGAGGTGTCGCGTGTGTGCTGGGTGGGTGTCCTGCCAGGAGCCAGTAAGTGGGTTTGCTGATATGTTAAAAGCAGATTTGTGTTTGCACAAGCTGCAGTGTCTTCTGTTTGTTCAATAACTGACATTGCTGTTGCTTTGTACTCTGCCCCAGAGCTTCGCTGGTGAGCCTGATTGAAGGCAACTTCAGGCGCTGCTGCGCTGTTTCCTGGTCCCATTCTGGTGGCGTTGGTGGAGTGCCAGGGCACCACAGGGAGCAGGCCTCCCTTCAGAGCGTATCACCACGCTTGTGATGAGGAACAGGGGCCTCTGCCAGGCAGGTGTGTGTGGTTGCTGCCTGGGCTCCAGGGAAATGGTTGGGGGAGGTACAGGGGCAATCTTTGATCCAGATCTGTGCCATCTGCAGGCTTCTCCAGAAATTGCCATGTTGCCTCTACCCAGCGGTGTGTTGAAGGTTTTGTTCTAAACTACACAAGTTTAAATGGTATTGCTTTTCTATTTTTTTAATGGCAGTTTTTGTTCCCATGAGTCAAAGAGCTGGAATTCAAGGGCCTGGTGCATGATTCCTCCACTTAAAACCACCTCTACTTTTCCTTCTTCAAGCTTAGGACTTTATACTGGTTTCTTTTTCTGCTGAGTACACATGGATGCATAGAATAATGCACATCATGCAACAAGGGGAATCCTGTCAGCTGAATGAGCACTATTGCTTATTGAGCTCTGTTTCACTTCTTTTTCATCTTTATTAGACCATATTTTCTATTCAAGACTAGAAAACGAGAGGCTTCTTAGAAGTGCATTATTAACTGCCCTTCTGATGGGGCTTTTAATCTTTACTGGCATTTTATTATTAATGGACTTCCATGAAATTTATAGACTGTTGTTAAGCAATTGTTTGCCAATTACATGCTTGTCACATGTCAGTTGGTAAAAAACACAAACTCATGCTACTTCCCTCTTTCTTATTTCAGCAAACCAACTCCATTGATGTGCAGTCCATTGAAGAGATTTTGAGGGTAGGTGCTCTTAAATAATTGATCTCTGCTGATATTTTGTATACATTAAGGTAACAGGTGAGAAAAAAAATACCACCCTGCTTATATTCACTTGATGCATGTTGCCATCACTAAAAGCGTGTTTTGGTGTGCTAAGGAGAAGTAAACGTAAGTCAGTCTCAGATACAGCTGGAGTTGTAAGATCAACCTTTCTCTTAGTGTGTGAGTGTAACACAGGCTAATGCAGTTCCAGAGCCCCACTGACAAGGCATGTGAGACTGACAGAGCTGCTTCTTCCTCAAGTCAGGGCTCGCCTTTCCTGAGCGCCCTTCCTCCCAAGGCATTGGACACGCTGTTTTGTGTCCCTGCTGCCAGCACCAGCAGTGTGGCCCTGAGCGGGACCACACATTTGAATCCTTCCTCCTGTCTGTGTGTGACACTGCTGCTGGGCTGCTGCTCCTTCCCTGGAATTCCAGTCCACTCGTGCAAAGCCAAGCCAGGTCTGATGCAAAACTGTAACCTGGTGTCAGAGCTGGCTCTCTGAGCAGCACACAGGCTCCCAGTGCCTGGCTCTGAGTCCGTGGCACCCCTTCCCTGTGCATGGTGTGAAAATGATTCCCATGTCAGTGGTGCTGATCCTGAGGAGACAGTTGCTTGATGTCAGATGCTATTCTGAGACTCTGAAGTCTTAGTGGAGGTGTTTGGTGTCTGCGATTCACTTCCCTCGCTGTTGCTTCAGGTTGCAAAATTTTGATGCCTTGATTGCTCTCAAGAAGCTGTTGTTGGGACAGTATTTTAGCTGAAGGGGAGCTGTGCACAGATGCTTGCTATCTTCTGTGTTCTGGTTGGAATTGCAGCATGAGGACTCCAACTGGAAGTCCAGCATCCTTTTGTGTTTCACCAGACAGCCTTGTGTTCTTGCCTGTTAGGAATGCATATCACTAGTTTTGTAGCAACCATGGAGAAGCATGTACAAATACATCAAGAGGTAGATCCATATGAATTCCGAAGTGTGAAGCTTCCTCTGTGTCTACCAGCAAAAGTCCTGATAGCTGCTCTTCTCGATCTCTTTCCAGGAAATGACCCGCTCATGGCCACCTCCCCTGACAGCTCCTAATACGCCTACTAAAGCAGAGCCTTCCAAATTTCCATTCCCAGCAAAGGTAAAACATCCTCTTTTTGTCAGGACTTTTGATAAACTAGAAGAGAGCTTTCTGGCTCTTGCATGTGTCTTTATCTTATTTTGGCCCCCTTTCATGGATAAAGGCTGTTAGGAGGTATTGCCTTCAGAAGTCAGATAAATTAAAAGGTCAATAAAGATGAATAAAAAATGCTTCAGTAACTTACACATTTGTTGCAATTGTGGTCTTCAAATGTAACTGCTTTTCAGAAACATTTCAAGAATCTCTGCTGAAGCACAAGATATATTTTATCTGTATTGTCAACAGAAATATTTGCTGACTGTGTTAAACAGAAGTGTTTGGCAGCTCTTATAAAATTTTTAAAATATTTCTTAAAAAATGTACATGCCTGTAATGTGCTAGCAACAAATTTTTGGTGGCAGTGGCATGTTTCATTTCTGTCCATGCTAAGCTACAGCAGGCCAGTTTAGACTATTGGATACTTCAAAGTCAAGCTTTGACAAGCTAGTCAAAGTTTTTATTACAGTAAGTAACACATGGAAAACAGATCATCAGTACACTGCTATTAAAAGACAGCTGATTTATTTTATTCTCAATTTACACTTCATCCTTTCTTTCTAGGAATTGCAGCCCGAGGGATTTGTAGCACAGGATCAGAGTAAGTAGAAATCCAAAGAAAACTATCTGTATTGACAGATAGTTTTGTGTGTTGTGTGTCATATGTTGCGGAGAACATCAAATGTTTACATTGATTTACAGGCGTGATTTAGTCTGCTTTGTTGAACAGTGGTGAATTTAGAAATAGCTTAAGAGATAGTATACATTCATTACCTAAAAATTAAGGCTACAGTTCAGCAGAGGACAAACCCTATTTGGAGTGGGGAATAGTCTCAATGGCAAATAATTATGTCCTAGAAGAAAGTGACTAGTCTAATCTGGTGCTCAGAGACGATAGGGTAAAATAGGCTACAAGGGTGGCAAATAAAACCAACCTGCTCACTTTTTATTTACAGAGCAGTATGGCACAGCTTCAGGAACATTGCCGAGTTCTCAGCCAAGAACGTTGTAAGTAATCAAATTCTGTTCCTATCTCTACTGTGCAGTTAGTTAAAAGAACGTGGCATGACCTAAAATTTAGGTTACTTGATGATTCTGAAGATTAAGGGTTTAATCAGTCATTTTTCTTAGAAAATTTCAATACCAGGAATTTTCACCAACAGAAGCATTCTTGGTTTGTGATGGAATCATAGAGAGGTTTAGATTGGAAAAGACACTTTTAAGATCATCAAGTCCAACCCTTAACCTAACAATGCCATTTCTACTAAACAATGTCCTGATTATGATGACCAAAACAAAAATGGAAAAAAACCACCAACCACCCACAAAAACCAAAACCAAACAAAAAAACCATCAACAAAAAAACAAACAAACAAACAAAACTACTAATGTACCAGGTTAAAGTTTTTTAGTTATTTTAATCTGTGGCTCATTAACATCACACTTTTTGTGCTCTTCAGCCTACTAATAATGCATTCAACTATAAATTATAAGGGATACAAACTGAATCTGACCGATTTTGGTTATCGTTCTGAAGCCTGGGAGGGATAGTAAAACTACAGCTACAAAAAAAATGTAAAAACTAGGGTGAAATTTTGAAGTAATTGTGTGATATAATTTTCTGCAGTTGCCCAAGGAAAAGTTTTCTAAAAAGTGTTGTCTTAATTTTATTTTTATTTAAAAAAACACACAAAAAAATTTCACATGGGTTATCTAAACCCCTCCATTTACAATCTAATAACATAACTGCAGAGTGGGGTAAAGATGAAATTTCTATAATGTATTTTAATTGTGTGTGTGTGCGCGCGCGTGTGTGTATATATATATAAAAAAATTAATCATAATCACTATGAAAGTTTTACAAGGCAGGAAGGCGCCAACTAATAAATTATTGCTCCAGTAGAAAATTTTAAGGTGTTGGATAAAATAACTTGGTACTGTCTTTGCAGGTGAAAGTGGTTATCCATTAATTAGGTTAATTATAGAAGTTGCTTGAAAGCAGTTTTGTGTGGCCTGACATTAGTCTTTCAGGATTAACCTGGCCAGATGGCAGCATTGATGTGTTCTGAGCACTGAGTGACAAATGGAAATCTTTCCATGTCTGGAAGGCTCAGGGGTCTATTGCTGAACCATTAAATGCCTGTCAATTCAAGCATATCATGTTTATGTGAGACATAAAGATCTCATGTTATTACATAGTACATTATTCCATAGAAGGCTGCAAACTACAGACTACAAAGCTTATTCCACTTGTTTTCCTTTTCCTTATTATGAATCATTTAATTAAAACCAAAACAAATCTGGACTAGTCACAAGTAGGAGGGAAGAGCGTGTCTCTGTCTTGGTTGAGATTGTAGAATTTTGCATTCAAGCTCCATAAGATTTGTTAAATATCCTTTTTCCTACTGTTCCAGCATGATGCAGAGGAGCCCCTGATCACTGGGAGTATGAAACAGTGTCTTGTTAAGCAGTCAGCTACTATCTTAATCCATTCTTTATTTTGCTCCTCTTTCTTTCAGTCTAACTTTCTCCTCCTGAATGACTTCTGGAAATTTTCTTTGCCCAACTGAAACTACTGGTTTCAAGTGCTCCAGGCTCTGTGCTCGTCCTCAGCTACCCTATCATTATTTCAACTCTTGAGCTGCTTGTAAAAATCTCTTTAGTGCTTTAGTCAGTTTTCCAGGCAGGAGAGAGAGAATAAACTTTTCCTATAGACAAGAATTGGAAAAGACTCCTTTTTTAGCCCAAGAGGCCAGAGTTGTAAATTTGGCATGGTATGTGGCTCTCTCCTTAGCCAAGATCCCCTCTCTGCTCGGGGTCCTTGCCAGGCACTTCAGAGCCAGCGCTCGTCTGCCAGGGACACACATACCCACAGCTGACAAAGGCAGTGGAAGTAAGAGGAAGAGGGTGGCTTGGGTTTATGTCTAAAATGAAGTCAAGTGAGATTTGCCCAAGGGCTACTTCTGCATCTTTTCCTTCAACTGATGCATCCCTTCTTTTTTGTGTTTGTTTTCTTTGGCACAACAGGGCTGGGCTTTCTTTGCTGTTCGAAGTGCATGTGACTGTCTGGAAATTCAGCTGCCTGGAGTAGCTTGTGTTGCAAAGTGTAGCTGGCTGAAAACAAACAGCATTTGTGGTGGTTAATTAGAAGTTGAAATCCCAAGGCATCTGTCCGCCCAAATTAAGCATTCAGCTTTTCAGAGCATGCGAGGGTTTCCCAGATGGCTTTCATTCTTGAATGCAGCCCTGAAGTTTGCACCTGGCTGCACTGGAATGAATACAGCCCTTTCTTTTAAAAGGGGAGATGCCAACTCATTCTTGGTGATGCATGTTTAACCCAGCTAGCAGAGGGGGGGATCAGCCTGTGCTTTTAGTGGGGTTGTTTGGCAAGTGATGATAATTTTAGTGCTGCTTCTCTCTCTAAAAGAGCTCTTTTTAAATAGCTTTACAGGGAGATTAATGATATGTATATAAACTGCAAATGAATGGGTCCTGCAAATGAAAACTTGCCATCTATTGATTTGTGAGCTAATGAAAGCATTATTAAGGCAGATTTTATTTTTTTTTAACTAGGCTATTAACAATTTGTTGAAACCTTGTTTTGGGGAAAGCGGCTTTGTCTATCCTTGAAAAAGTATGACTCTTCTCAAGTTTTATTGTTCTTCCTTGGTCCTAAATTAAGCTGAAGTAGTTGCAATGTTTTTTTATGCGGATGCATTTTATTTACCAGCAGCTCTGGTGGAAAGGGTTTTTTATTATAAACAGTTAAATCAGATTTAAAATAAGGCCTTGGTGGCTTTTTTGCACATCCTTGTTCATGGCAGGGGGTTGGAACTAGCTGATCTTTAAGGTCCCTTCCAACCCAAACCATTCTATGACTCTATGGTTATCCTCTTACCTCAAGTCCATGATTCTTAAAGCAGAACAAAACAAACGCAACCAAAACCACTTTCAAAACATTTTAGTGACGCTTAAGAAGTTGTAAAAGAAAATACAAAGAATTCATTGAGATACCAGTAGACATTTGACCAAACTGCCCAGAAGTGTGAAGAGTGTCTGTATTGTTGCTATTCTTCTTTTTTTCCTTTTTGTGCTTCATCTGGCAATGAGCTTTGCCTGTAGCCCACTCTTCTGCAGGATTTCTGTAGGCTATAAGCTCTTTGCCTTCTGTAGGAAACTCAGGGATCTTGTTTTCCAAGGTGGTGCCTCACAGTGCTTCCCTTCAGTGTTTACTCTAAAAGAAGAGACAAGAGGTGATTTCCACTGAGAAGGTGTGTGAGGAAATGAAGCAATAGAGCATAGTCACAGGGGAGTGACAGTCAAAATGCCTGAACAAAGCGAGCATCAACTTTTTTCACCTTTTTCCCGGGTGACATGGTTCACTGGGCGTCGTTTTCATTTGTTTTCTTGCTGTAAAATGTGTTGTCATGAGGAGTTGGAGGCTTATTTTTCTTATTTAGCCATAAGGGCTCTCTGTGAGAAACTTCTTAGCTTGAAATGAGGTTGAAATAAACAGAGTTTTGACCTGATTGATTCAAATCCCTGCCTCAGTTTTTTAGCTTTTTGTCCAGTTTTTGGAAGGACACTTGAGTAATTCTCTGGGTTGAGAAGCTGGAGGCTAACTAGTTTCAAGATTTTAATAACTATACTTTTGAATAGCAAGAGTTTTGCCCAACTGTTTTCCAACATCCCTTTGGGATGCCTGCATGATTGTCAAAGTGGAGGATAACAATACGGGAGAAGTATGGGTCCCTTCCTGAAAATCCTTCCCTTCCAGCCTAATAAGGACCTTGGTAATATATTGAAATTGCAACAGTAGTTACCACCTGCAGACAGAGAACTAACTGATATTTTTGGAAGCATTTTCAGGCAACCTGCTCTCTTTTCCATCAGTAGTAAAACAGAGCTCATACCTCCTCACTTGTAAACTACTTTGGGAATCCAAACTGCTCAACAGTACAGTTCCTGCTAGGATATGCAGGAGCATAAAGTTCATTGTGCAGAGAAGAAATAGGAGGTAGGCTTGATATTGGCATTTACTCATGTATGTGTGATAGGAGACTTGAGCAGCAAAACGAGAACCCCTGCAACAGGAGAAATATTCACAACCCCTGAGTGCGGAGAGCGTGAACATGCACAACTTCTGGTGCGAAGACGATGCTTTCTGTCCCTTGGGGAACCAGTGCAGGCTGAGAGCATGTGAGTCTCTTCCTGTACAAGGATCAGACTTCTTCCACCCTGTGCTAGTCAACTAGGTAGCCTTTTCTGAGGAGCATTCCCCTTACAGAACTTGGTCTTTGTTGTCTGTAGATGGCAGCCATTGCTATGGGGCTCCATTGCAAATTATCCTAATGTCAGTTGAAAAGTAGAGTAAAAAAAGGAAAAAAAAAAAGTAATTTTAAGCATTCAATGACAGGTTTTAGTAGTTCAAGCATGCCAAATGTTCAGAAATTATGTGGGAGGTTGATTTGTTTTGGCAAACGCAAACCTTTTTCAGTGTCTTCTGCTTGAAAATGTGTCTGCCTTGGCTGATATTTGTCTTCTGGTTGTCTTTCAGAATGCTCCAGGACGACCTGCAGCTCAGTGATAGTGAAGAGAGTGGTGACGACCAAGTCAGTTTTAGATGTTTTATACACTAGGCACACAGACTTCCCTTTAAATTATCACCACTTGTTGTATTGTTCTGAGTTCCGTAAGCTAACCTTTCCTCCCCCTCTCCTCTTTGTTTTTGTGAACAAAACAGGTTGTTGAAAAGTCACCATCTTCACTTGCACCTCCAAGGTACAGGTTTGTTCCCAAACTACTAGCTAGACCAAATAAGGAGAAAAACAAAACTGCTTTGTGTGTATGGGGTAGATGGGTAAGGGTTCCTGATTTCTCTTGTAGGTACAGGCCTTGGTTTCTGACTGCTATTGAAAGTCAGCTTAAGTGTGTGGGGTTTTCTGGAAAACTCCAATTAGAAGTGAATAATTTTGTTTCATGCTGGAATTTGCCTATGAACCAGAAGTGTATTTCCTCAACTGCTCCCTTCTTTTTTCCTCTTCCCCTCCACCAGTGTGTATGTAGAGCATGCTGGAGCTAATAGGATTTTCAGTAGTAGTAACAATGGGGCAGGTGCAAGTCCAGGTTTAGTTCACAAAGAAACTCAAAACAGCCAAGTGCGTAAAGAACAGGATAGGGTTAGTAAAACTCGCGGAGACTGTTTCAGCTCCTCCTGATAAGGCAGCTGATTGTAAGCAGTTCCTGCCATGTATTGTTGGTCAGAAGCAATATTCAAGGTAGACTGAAAACTGCATGCCAGCATTAGAGGAAGAAAGGTGTAGAAGCCCAGAATTTTTCCTGTAGGAGAGCACTGACATAGATTTTTGGCTTGATATCTGTATTCTTCAAGCACAGGATAATCACCTACAAAGTCAGACTTGCAGAAGAGCACACTGATTTTTGTCACAATCTGTGTGTCTGAAAACTCTTAAAAGATGAGTGTTTTGATGAGTGTTCTCACGATATCAGTCTTGGATCAGCAAGAAACTTGCCTCCAAATCATACAAGTGTGTTGATGGTGATGTGGAAAACCATTTACAAAGTAAAAAAACACAAACCAATGCATAAAAGTGACAGCTTTCCCTCAATTCCATCCACTCCCATTGTCAATGTGGAAGAAAACACTTGATTAAGGAAGGGTGTTGCAAGAAACGCAGTGCTTGATGTGACTGTTAATGAAGTGGTTACAGCAGCTTGACCAAGTAAAACAGATGTAGAAGTGAAAACTTTGGAGGGAGAATAGAAAAAACAGAATGATCCTGAAAAATATGTTTTTGTCTTGTTCACCTTCCTTGGAAATTTTTTCATTTTGAGGGTTGGAATTGTCAGAAAAAACACTGGTCACTTTTGGTGGGTTTTTAAAATTTGCTTGGCTAAATGAAACTTTACATTGCAGCAGTGGCATCCTGCTTACATATTTGACTGGGCTGGAGTTGAAGGTTTTATTATTTCCAGTGATTTTTTTTTATTCCAGTTCTTTATTTTTTGAGTATGGCAGTACATTCCTCTGGCCTTCTCCCCACTTGTCTCAGTGCCAAAACACAGGGTTTCAGTTTTATTTTTGAATACTGACATGGCAATATACTAAGTAAGTAACCTTCACCCATGCTGCTTTCTAATTTTATCTCATGGTGGCCTTGCAGTTCCTTACAGTCTCAGCCCAAGAGTGTGGCATCAGCACATTCCAGCAGCTCGGAGTCAGGGAGCACCAGTGACTCAGAGAGCTCCTCAGACTCGGAGACAGAGAGCCACTCCAGTGACAGTGAAGTGAACGAGCCTCCAAGAGCACCAGCATCTGAGGTGAATGCCAATAAAACCTAGAGGCTGCTTAACACAGCCTCCTGCCTCTGCCTCTCTGCTGTCTCAGTGCAGTCAGGACAGAAACACTGTCCATGGTCGGGTGCCCCCTTGACATTTTTGCTGCATCACCATACTTTTCTTGCCCTTTACTTCCCTTCTAGTGTTTTTCTATTAAATAACCCTTAGTAACAATGTAATTAGACTTTCAGATGCCTAAACTTGATGTATTCCCCCTTCTCCTTTGGTGTCATTGTCTAGCACTTACTGGCGAGACAAAAACAAGTTGCAGATGAGTAGCACGGCTGGCCTGGGGCATCTGCAGCATTTCTAGGTGCCAAGGTATTGGGTTGTTGCTGCAGCTCCTGTGCCTGAGTGACAGATTCAACTTCTCCCACCCAGGTTGGAGCCAAAGGGATCAGACCTGCAGGAAGGGCTGGAATATGCTTAGTCTTGCTTCTGTTGAATTTGGCTTGCATAGTGCTGCACTGGTGTTTTTGAGACTTTTATTGGGGAAAGCAGGCAAACACAAATTGGTATCTTAAAGTTTCATAATTGAGACCATGCATTTTTTTTAGAAATGTGCTGCAGAAGTGCTCATGTCCCATGCTTTCAGATAGTTCTTCCAGCTTGCAAAACATTCTCAGACCAGTGGGAAGTGCATGGTTATATATGCAGACCACAGCTGATGTAAACCAGTATATTGGCAATTCTAAAGTACTGTTAACAAGGCCCAGAAAACTTGTAATTTATTTCTCCTTCCCTGCCCCAGCTCTGGCTTTCTTATCTTTTACCTTAGAAGAGCATGAACAAGGAGAATTTTATGTGCTGAAAACAAACTTTGAGAAGACCAATCTTTCCATCTCGCCCCAATACTCCTTACCCTCCAGTTCAGTTACAGACTTTGCCCACTGCAATATAAGTGTCTTTGGAAGGACATGGATATTATACTTCTCCTCTTTTACCAAATTCTACCTGATTTTCCTAAAAATACGAAGTTGTAAGACCTTTCTCACTCTAGTGAAGTCCTAGCTATTTGCCACTGACCATTTTATCCTTTTTTTTTTTATTCAGCAAGCTGTCCATCCATGATGCTCTAGATCAACTTAGTGTATGTGGCCAGTTTGTTTATAGTCAGTTTCATGTGAAACATGTACTTTCATGTGAAAGTACACACCTTAATGCCTACAGCCAATAGTCTCTGGGCTCTGGTAAGCTGTGCTAGGATGGAAGCATCTCCTAACAGCATCAGTCTTGAATCCTTCCTTTTTCTTTTTGTCTGCAGCCCGAACCACTAACTTCTAATAAGTGGCAGCTCGACAACTGGCTGACCAAGGTGAACCCGCCAGCAGAGAGTCTCAGTGAAATTGCCTGTGGGGATGGACATGTGGAGGGCAAGAGGCAGGAGCCAGGCTTTAGTAGCAATTCCTCCCATAGGCATGCTGAGCCAAGGGAGCCTCATCACCAGAGCCAAGTGGCCAGGGCTCCTCGGGACACTCATCTTCCAACAAAACACAACTGCCAGAAGCCTCCTGTGCATGCTGAGGAGCCTTTGCCCAGACAGACTGTAGGTATCAAAAGGCCCAGCAAGCCTGTGGTGCACGAGGGGTCCAAGAGAGGCCTGAAGGTGGAGAGTGACCCTGGTCCTTTGGAGGTCAGAGACCAGTCTTCCAAGGACAAACCGAAAGTCAAAAAAATAGTCAAACCAGAATCCACTGACAGAAAATACCTGAAGGCAGCACCTCATGAGCCCTTTGAGAAGAGAAAGCACAAGGGTTCCCACCAGGCCAGTGCCAAATCCTTCTTGGACCCCAAGCTCACGGAAGATGCCCAGACACTCGATGCTCTCATTCCCCTTCCTCAAGGCCATGGCACAACCCCCATCAGGACCAGCAGCTACAGGCCTCAGGATTTGCACAAGGAGAAAATGCCTTTGCCTCTTGGGGTGAAGTTGCTCTCACCAGTGAGGGACCCCCCAACCGGTGACCGCCTTGTGGTGAAAATAGATCTCCGTCACCTGGCGAAAATCCCTCAGCCCCACAGGAAAGACCGACACCAAAAGAGAACAGAGACCAAGGGCCTCCCTGGTTCAAAGAAGCAGGACTTGAAAAGGAAAACCACAGATGCTCCTGAGGAGTCCCTTCAAAAGAGGAAGGTGAGAGGTGGAGGTGGGGGTGAGTTTGTACCAGGACCAAGGTAGTGTTTCAAAAACCCCTGTGAAGTTTCCACTTCATACCTATGATGATGGCTATAATGAACCTTTATGCTCCTCCTGTAAAGCTGTTTACACACTTCTAAGGAGAATGCGGATCAAAACTGTCTGCAGATGTTTCTCATTGGTCTCAAATCCCCTCCTGGGCAACTGAAAACCCTGTCAGCTGTCTAACATACATGTTTTAAAGCATTTTTTGCAGTGGTTTTTTTTAATTCTAGTTTTCGCAGGCAACAAAACCTCAGCCCTCCTTTGTTGGAGAAGCTTTCAGCAGCAGGTTATATCAGCATGTGGCTGACCAACCCTCTGGCAGTTGGTGGTGGGTTTCTCTGGCTTTCAACCCAGGGCAACGGCGCCCCCTCCCCATGCCACCCCATTAACAGCAGCACAGTTCCTGAAGCACATCCCTGTGCAGTCACCTGCACTGTGCATTTCATCTGTTTTGGGAGAGCACCTGCCCTGCAGTTCGTGGATTGCCAAGAAAGAGAACTGACGCAGGACACCCCGGTCTGTGGTATTCAGTTTTGCCCAGGGATGTACCTTCTGCTGTCTTGAGTCAGCAGTACAACACTCAGTCTGAGTATTGTAGTCTTTTCCTGTGGGAAGTAATTTTTTTCCATGAAACAGTTGTGACTGCTTCCAGGAGGGATGAATTCTGCAGATGGGAACTGTGTTATTGCCAGAGGTGATGGCAATGACCCTGTGCCTTTTGCTTTTCTGGAAATGAAGACTTTTAACTGGACTGGGCGCACTCATGGTAACAACTGTCACAAAACCCTACTTGGGATCTCGGCACTTGGATAAATAGATGGAAAACTTGTTTGGTTTTCCCTGGAGCTGATGTGGAGCTGGCAGTGATGCTGATGCTTTAGAGACATGAAGAGCTTTCCAGAAACCCCTTTGCAGAGTTCCTCAGCAGTAACAGTCACTTTCCCTTGAATTACAACCCTGTATTTAACTGAGGTGATTGTTGCTCACAAATGTTTTTGGAAAGCTGACTCCTGAAGGGAACTGTGAATATACCTCCAGCCAGCTGCTTTAGCTGCACAAAGAGTTGGTTGCAGGCCCTGTGGGGAATGGGTATTCCCTGTGGATATTTCAGTGCCTGTCTACCTTTTTGCTCCTCAGAGAGCAGGTGGCTCAGCATGGGTGGGTTAATAACCATGGTTCCTGTGTGGGTTTCATTTAGTTTTGTTATTTTCTGAATTTCCTATGGTTGTGGGGGAGAAGCAAGAAGAACAGGGAAATGGTGAAGAAATTTGAGAGACCCCAGCAGTTCCCTCTCTTACAGAGCAGAGGGAGAAAGGGAAACAGACTTGTCACTTCTTCTGTTGTCTAAAAAACCCGGGAGAGGAGCTATTTGGTGTTAGGCATGTCTTCCCTTGCAATCTCAGTGCCCAACTTCAGGAGAATCCACTACAGAGTCTCACTGTCAATCCTGTCAGTGGGCATCAGTGTCCTTGGAGACTCAGGCTTCACAGCAGCCAGCTGAGCCAGGTACATCTGTCTTTCATGTCTGTGTGGAGATTACCTGAAAAACAATATAAGCACATGATCTCGGTGCTGGAGCCTTGTCCTGAGCACACTGCCAGAGGTAGACTCCGTGTCACAGCACAACCCACTGAGTGACAGGAGCCTGGATATGTCCAGACTTGAGTGCAGGACAGGGAGAAGAACTCACTGAGAGTAGTCTGGCGAAGAAGGACTTCGGGGGTTTCGGTGGATGAGAAGCTGAACGTGCAGCCCAAAAAGCCAACCCCGTCCTGGGCTGCATTGAAAGATGTGTGGTCAGCAAGGTTGAGGGAGGTGATTCTGCTCCTCTACTCTGCTTGGGTGAGACCTCCCCCTCCTTGAGTATTGCATCCAGTTCTGGGGTCTCCAGATTTTACCTGACTGTTAAAAATTTCACTTATGTCAGATTCTTATTAATAAAAACCAACCTCCCCTGCACATTTGGGGGATCTAACTCACGTGCAAGTACCTTACCTTTGATTACCTTTGACTTTTATGATTAGCAGCAACAGCTTTAGCAGTTCCATCCCTGCTATCCCACATCCATCCATTCCTACTTTGGTGGTTTGAATATCTTGTTTGAGTGGGGTTTTTTTTTCTTTTTTTTTTTTGTTTGTGGTTTTGGTTGGTTGGTTGGTTTTGGTTTTTTTTTTTACCAGAATCAGTCAAACTTGGCTGTCTTGGTCTGTACTTTATGTGAACTTTGAAAACCTGAGTGATCTTTTTTTTTCCTTTTTTTTTCCCCCTTCTTGTTAGAGGGAAGAAAAAGAGGAGACTGATAGGAAGAAAAAGAAATCAGAAAAAGAAACAAAATCATTGCAGTCTTCAGCTAACAAAGACTCCAGTAAAGTGAAGTGAGTATACGGTGGTGGGATGGCAGAAAGATGCATAAATCTAAGTCTTTCTTTACAAGGTTAAAGCAAGGAACGTTATCTCCTGTCCTTATGCTCGTGACCTTGCTCCTAATATAATGTACCTTCTGAAACTGAATCTGCTGTAGATTTGCCTTTACATCCCGGAAGCAACCACTAAAGAAAACAGAGAGCATTTCACTTCTCCACTAAAATCATCTTTTTGTCTTTGTTTTTTTATTCTATGTGACCCGACAGAAACATAACCAGGGTGCCTTTTGAGTCCTGACTGTCCTGAATTTCAGGTGGCCTTTGTGGCCAGGAATTTCTCATTTACCCAGTACAGCATTTGCAGTGTTCTGGTAGACCTGCCAAAGCTTGCCCTGTAATTTGCATACCAGGGCACTGCCAGTATTTTGGCCCGGTCTTAGCTAGAGTGAATGCTTCCGAGAGCGTGTCTCCAACTGGGCAGTGTTCCCGAGAGGGGAGATTCATGGATCAGTCACGGGCTACTGCATTCTATTCCTGCTTGGCTGTGGCTTGAATTTGAGGTGTTGGCTTGGATTGGTATGTAGTGCTGAGGTTTGTGTCCTGACAACAGGAGTAAACTGCTTTTCTGCAGACAAAGCATACTCTGAAAGCACTGAAGCATTGGGACTAACATTTAGTTGGGTGAGGGGATATCTGAACTGTGGTAGTAATGGAAGAGCTTTATTTCTGGGGTTTATTGCTCCCTTTTTTCCAGTGAAAATGAGCACCTGTTATACTTGTGTTCTGGCTTTTGGAGTGGGAAGAACAGGATGCATTTTTGGGGAGAGAGTGCACTGGATCAGGTCAGGGGATGATGGTTCTGTGCTCTATGGAGAATCAGGTGTGCCAAGGTAGAGAAGCTGGGAAGCGTGTGTGCAGTGAGTAGGGACTATCCTTTGAGAAAAATGAGTGGTGAAAAAGGGATAGAGGACTGTCCCATACACAGCAGAATCGGGCAAGATGTGCAACATCACACCAGAGCCCTCTCACAGGGTTTAACTTAATTTCTTCCTCGTCTGATGCTGCAGTCAATGAGCTGGGATTCACTGCTCAGTGTTTTCTAGAAAACTTTGAGAAGCTGAGTAACAATGATGTAAAGGAGCAGTGGTGAAGCAAGGTTCAGAGCTCTTTGGTGCTGCTTAGAGCTGCCAGAGTTCCCTGGTAATCCTAACTTCAGATGATGAGAAATCTAATATGCCTCTGTATTATGAAATGGGATAATCTCTGCCATTTAAAAGCAGAGCATTTTAAGTCTCTGCTAGTTGAATCCTCTTAACTTTGTGTTGTCTAGTTGAGCTGGCAAGTCTTAGAGGAAGAATTCAGTTTAATTCTGTCAAAGCACGTAGAGGATCAAGTGTCAGGGTGAGTATCTCTGACCACAGAAGATACTGTCTACCAAAAGGGAGAGAGAGAAGCAGTGCTGTAGCTCCTTTGCCTTGTTGGGTGATTTGTCCCAGGGGTTTGAGTCACTGTAATTACCCCCTCATTCAGGGAAAAGGGGTTGTGTTGGAGGGATATGCCTTTCTTGCAATATCGTGGTATTCTGGTTGCGAGTGTTTGCTCCGAGGACAAGTTCTGAGACTTATTTTGAAAAGCAACTTATTTGTATATTGATGGCAGTTGAAGCTGTTTTATCTCATGCACGATGAAGTCCCTGAAATTTCATTTTACATTTGTTGGATTCTTTTTATTAACAAGTCACCTCACGCATCCAGAGGAATTTAAAAAGAATTGGTACACGATGTAAATAAATTTTTAAAAAAATCTCTACATATATGTGCACCGTATGAATTTGCTTCCCATCTTCAGAGCACCAAAAACTTCATTTGAAACCCAGAAGAAAGACGTGTTGCCCCCACCACTGCCACCCACATCTACTGCACATCCTGCACCAAAGTCAACCAAGATGGCACAAAAGAGACCCAGAACTGAGACTGATGATCTGCCTACTGTGGATAACCCTGCTAGGAACAAGAGCAACCACAAGGATCCTCTGTCTGCCAAGCACAGGAAAGTGGAAGGAAATCATATGGAACTGTCGAAGGGCATCAAAGTAGGTATCCATTGTTCATGATCCTTGCAACTGGATCTTTGCATTTCTGGGTTATAAAATTCAATTACATGGCTATTGACTAGTGACTTGGGCTGTGTGGTCTAAGATGATGTTCTGTGTCTGTTTTAAGCCAGACTCTGCATGCTGTACTAGCAGGCTTCTAACTGCTTACTTTTTCCTGGCAATCTAGTCATTAACGGAGAATGAACAATTGTTGTGTGGTTAAGTTGGAAATAAGTGTGAACAGATCTTACCAATTCTTGCCTTGGCTAGAGGCCCTGAAAAAAGCAGCCTTCTTGCTCTCTTAGCCCCTGTGCAAGGAAACCTGCTACTGAATTTTTCCATGCTTGGGAAAAGTTTGAACGCTGTTAAGTATTATGAGCAGTCAGGTGAGAAGCCAAGCTTCCATTTCCATTATTTGAAGGATTGCTGGGGAAGAAGGTGAAGAAGGTGAGCCTGGAGAATAGACTATGCCTGTGACAAATGAACATTTTCTCTTGAAATTTAGGAAAACCAGGCTTTGGAATTGGTTTATGCGTAACTTTCTCACCAACATTATCTCTGTGCTTTTTCAGGGATCTGCAAGGGACGACAAAAAGCCTTTCCCAGTGCCTTTTTTGCCAAATGGTACCTCCAAGCCAAGAAGACCTCAACTCAAGTTTGAAAAGTAAGCTTTTGTTTTATACCCCTCATCGGTATTTCTGAAGGCCTGAGGCAAGGCAGGCCTTGCAGCCACCATTCTGCTTTTTCATGAGCTCTTCTTTTGGGAGTAAAGAGAGAGAGAGAGAGATGTGGGAGACCTACCCTGTACTGGTTTCTGGTGACTGGGACTTACCCCACCCACCACACCACAAAGCAAAGGTTTACAGCAAAGCAAAGGTTTACAACAGTCCTTGGTTTGAGGGAAGCTACTCTGGAAATTAGGTACCATCTCTCTTGTAAGCAGATAACTTGAATGCAAGGTCTTTTGGTCTCATCTGAGTGTGTAGTGCTGCCAAGTTTACTGTATGTTTCAATCAAAATGCATTTATGGGACTGTACTAGAGGAATGATAGATGACATAACTACTATCTTTCCATGGGAATGAGAAAATAAATTTGTTCCCATAGCCTAACCTCTGGTGGTTTTTCAGTTCTAAATATAAATTATCATTTTTATTCCAACATACAATTTTTAAGAAATCAGTTAATTTTCTCTGTGAAGGCAACATTCATTTAGTAACTATTTCCCTCTGTCCCCAATTCAGACAGCATTCAAAGGAATACTACTTCGAACAGGCCCAGAGGCTGAAGCACCAAGCTGATGCAATGGTAAGTCTCGACCCTGTGCTAGAAATGTTAACCAGCTCTTGCATCCAGACCTACGTACATGGGAATAACATTCATTGCCTAACATGACTTCCATACTCCACATTGGAGTATGTTCAAGTCATGTGTTGGGAGGCTGTCTTTAATTGCCATGTGTTCAGATGTTTCTCCTTGGTGTAAACTCCTCTGAAGAACAAGATTCAGAACTAACACTGTCTGAGGTTAGCAGGCCTGTTTGCTTTGTAGAGCGATAAAAGAGTCCTTGGAAGACAGTTAGTTCTTAAAGAGTTTAAGAAGTTGGGAAAAGTCAGGATCCTGAGAGTTACTGTGTTCCTGGTGCCCAAGACTTTGAAGCTGCCTTGGCAAATCTAGCTGGTTTTCTCTGTTCTCTGCAGTGTAACAATGGGCAGGGGTGAACATAGTGTTTTGCTAATTATGACTCCCTGAGATAATGTTCGTTTGCTACTTGCCATTTACCTGGGAAAATGAAGTGAGGGAATACTGCAGGGGGAAGGCGCCCTCTGCCTCTCAGAAGGCAAGCCTCCAAGACCAGACAATAATATCCGAATAAAGTGAAGATAATAAATTACTTGAGGAAACCACTGAGAGATGTAAACAGCCAGAGCATGCAAAGTGGATGACTGGGGCCATGTAGAGGTTCTACTGAGAACCCTCTAATTGTCACCCAGATGCCAGACTGAGATCTTTTTCTTTCTTCAAAAGAAGAAGTCCCTGCCTGACTAGGGAGGAAAAAAAGAATTCAAGTACACTTGAGAGAAGTGGGTTTGTTCTTGGACTGAAAATGAGAATTGTCTTCCCAACAGACTGACAAGACTGGAAAGGCCTTTCAGTACTTAGAGGCTGCACTGTTGTTCATCGAATATGGAGTTGCCTTGGAATCAGATGCACTAGAGCCAAAGTCAGCCTACAGCATACTCAACGACACCATAGTTCTCATCAAGTAAGTGCCTTTCAAAGCATGATGGTTTGGCAGCATGTTTGGAGGGGAAGGATTAGTCACATTCCTTGTTTGCAACTGTGACACCTCTGGATTCCCACCATGGAGCAGAGTTGGGGTTGCTTGTACAAGCCTGAGACACAGACCATCCAGAGACCCCAGGGGCAAATCCATTGAAATGTTTCAGCATTACTTATCAGAAGCTAGCACCACATCCCCCTCAGCATTTAAACCTGGCAGCTGAGGTACACCAGAGGACATTGACCATGACAATTGAGGAGGTGAAGGAGTTTTTACTTTACGCAGATCTGCAGTTGCATGTGCGTGTGAACTCAGTAGTATTTCAGTTTAAAAAAGCAAACCAACAGTTTGGCATGCAGAAAAACGGTTTGTGCCCCAAAGGTTTGCAGCTTGATTGAAGGCAACTTTTTCTGGTTTCTCTGGGCCCCAGACCTGTAGGTGGCTCACATGGGGCATCTACTTGTTGGCCCCTTAATTCGTGTAAGAGGAGAGTAAGTCACATAAGGGGCCACATCTGTTCCTGCTGTGTGGAAAAAAGGCATTTTGAGACACAGTCCTCTGCTCAAGATCATGCAAAAGTTCTTGGTGTCAGGACTAAGGACTCAGGGCAGGCTTCCAGGCTTTTGGACCCGTTTTTGGGGTAGTGGCATGCACTGTTTTTTCATAAACAGTGGGACTTCAGAGCACACTGATGGCTGACAAGGTTCTCTTTGTTTTGTTTCCTTAGATTCATTATGACGTTGAAACCGTTTGCAGACTCCTCAGTCTCTCCACATGGAAAAATCTTTGCTGTATTACGGTGCGTAGCTGTTTTTTTTCTATTCCTTCGTGTTCTGTTTTGAGACTTGATAGAGTAAAAGACCCATTACGATCAGTGAGGAAGGAATGGGAGTTAGAATTATGCAAGGTTAAAAGCCGCAATTTAAAAGCTAGAATTAACTGAAACATCTCTAAAGTAAGCTGGAAGATCACAAGGGACCACATGTAGAAGGCAGAGGCTTTAAAATTTGATCTGCTTGTAACTTGAGAGCACATAAGGGCTTTCACCTGAGGTGAAAGAACGCAATTTGGCTGCCCATGTTTGAACCGTGTAACTGAAGCTGTAGCTAAACATGGCTGAGGCACTTCTGGGTGGGGGCTTACTCAGCCTTTGGCACCTCTAAGAGGCTAGGCACCTGTCTATATAAAAGGACAGACAGGGCCCTTCCTCGTTTCTTTCTTTCCCTTATGATTTTTTCTCACAAGTCTTTTTTTTTTTTTTTTTTTTTTTTTTTTTTTTTTTTTTTTTTTTTTTTTTTTTTTTTTTTTTTTTTTTT